GGGCACGTGGTGGGTGTCAGGTTCAGCCGCAAGCCACGCGACGAAGAGTGGGGCACATCGCCGATGCCGTTCACTGGTAGGTGACGGAGGCTTGTGGAATTCGCTGCCGCCTGGAGGCCGGGCCGGGACTCAGGGATTCCTCTTAAGCTTCTTGAGTCCGGGGTTCGTCTAGCTAACTTGAGTGAGAGTGAGCGACGAGATGGTCTAGGATATCTAGGTAAGATCCTAGACGGTGCGGAGGCGAGCAGGAAGCCTATGCGGCTTTATGGCCTCAACCCTGCGGGAAGAGAGCTCGTTCATCAGTTGTGCTCAATGCGTGGTCTCCACTACGTGACGGCTGACGATAAAGGGCACATGACCGTGTCTGTGCCGCAAGCCTCTCCTTCGGTTTTGCATACCAGCACCAAGCGCGCCTCAGATCGCACTTACGGACGCTAGCGATGCTATCGGTGATGCTTCGTGCAAGAACATGAAAAGCACAGGTTCGGGGGCGCTCAGCTCGAACTGAGCCTCCTAAGGAAGGAGTGCGAGGAGTTGAGACGTCAGCCAGACGCGTCGACATGACGCGAGCAAGGCCTTGCGGCGCAGGTGCGGGCACAACACGCCCTGCGCCAGTCACGGGACAATCCCGGTAGGCCACGACATTCGCATCACTCTGGACGGTGCCGAGCTGTACCACGCATTCGTGGTTAGCCTGGGAAGCCCTTGTCAGATTTTGGGATCCCACAAACAAGGTCACCCTACACGGCACCGGACGAGAGCGGTTTTGGCATGCAAAGCGCCGCGAAGCCCTCTAAATCCAGCCCCATACACGTCCGATAAGGGACGGCCCTGGACAGCGCGAACTTCCACCTGGGAGTTCACCAGTGCCTGTAACGGGCACGGCCAGACTCCATACACGCTTGCGCCTTTCGCCTTTTGCGAATCTGTTAGCAAGCGGACGATGGCCCCCCGGGTAAGCTGGGGATCATCGTAGGTGAAAGCTGACATGAGCCACTCGAATCATTTGGCCTCGGTCCCCTCACGGATGAGCGGCTCCAAGAAGGAGGAGTCTTGGCCGAAGCGTAACCCCAGGTGTCTCCACCGACACCGTGTATCGGGCCGTGGTTCGACCGATTGTGGAGCGCTTCAGCGCGTATCGTGATCGACCACGCGCCGAAGCCTGATCGTCGCCTTCGAGGCAAATCTGCAGCAGGGTCGTCCGCCCCGCCAACTTCGCGCTGACTGCGATCTTCACCCGCTTTTATGACCCTGCTGCCGCTGCCGTGCTGCTCAGCGTTCTTCGAAGTGAGGCGGTAGTAGAAATCTTTTTTTTTTTTTTTTAAGTTGGGGCTGCTGAACAGGGCACCTCATGCACGATGCGCTTCGCTGTCTTGCGATCGTAGTTGTGGTCTGAGCTTTCAACTGCCGAGCTGCCTTTGCCAATCGAGGTGGCACTGTAGTCAGTGCCGCTGCCCTTTAGAACCCTAGCTTACGCTACAAAGCCATAGCCAACAAGGTAGCCAACTTGTGTTGCCAGAGCAACTGTGGCTCTGGCAGTTGGTAAGCCCTTGGTACAGTAGACGTGCCCTTGCGGTACGAGCTCGGACTGCAGTCCGCTGCCCGCCGCACAGCAAAAAGCCCGCCACGGTTTTGTGGGTTTCCTTTGGGTCTTGGGGTAAGGTTGCTAAGCCAACAACTGCGTCTGCTGTCTTTCCTAGGTCTTATTGTCTTTCTTTCGTGGCATTTGCCACTCTTTCCACCACTACTACTACTACTACTACTACTACTACTACTACTACTACTACTACTACTACTACTACTACTACTACTACTACTACCACTACCACTACCACTACCACTACTACCACTACCACTACCACTACCACTACCACTACACACTACATACTACACTACCACTACCACTACCACTACTACACTACACACTACCACTACCACCACTACCACTACACTACCACTACACTACTACTACTACTATACTGCTACTACTGCTACTACTACTACTACTACTACTACCACCACTACCACTACCACTACTACGACTACTACTACGACAACGACAACGACAACGACAACGACTACGACTACGACTAGACTACGACCGACTACGCTACTACACTACTACTACCCACTACCACTACCACTACCACTACCACTACCACTACCACTACCACTACACACTACCACTACTACTACTACTACTACTACTACTACTACTACTACTACTACTACTACTACTACTACTACTACTACTACTACTACTACTACTACTACTACTACTACTACTACTACTACTACTACTACTACTACTACTACTACTACTACTACTACTACTACTACTACTACTACTACTACTACTACTACTACTACTACTACTACTACTACTACTACTACTACTACTACTACTATTTTTTTTTCAATTGAACGCTGTGCGAGCGGGCTCGGCACATAGCGGGCGATTGCCGCGGTGCACTCACTTTGGTGTGAAACTGACTCAGACCCTATGACTGATTAGTCCAGGTCAAAAAGACCTATGAGAGATGGCGCGGCCTACGTGGCTTCTAGCTGACTGGCAGAGGTCAGCCAGAGCAGTATTGCAGGCAGCAAAATGCCGAGCTCCATCTTTTGATGGTGTACCTGAAGTTGTCGGGAACTGATCTGCGTGGTGCATGCTGGCAGCAGTGCAGCTGATACGAGTCTGACGGCAGGCACTGACCTGTTTTGCGACTGACAGCGACGGCGTCAAGCAGAAAGGCTATCAGTCTGTCCTGGAAGAGACATGCGTCAGTTCAGAAGAAACGGGCAGTGCCTCCGCTGCTAGCTACGTATACTGCCATTGGCACCGTCCAGGAGCGACTGCCACTGGCCCCAGAGTCGCGGACGCTCGCGTCCGCCGGCGGAGGTCAGCCAGGACCCCAGTAACGGCAGCAGCAATGGCGGAGGAGGACGAGGATGGGCCCTCGGTCGCGGCCCGTGGCGGTGTGAAGAGGAGAGCCGCACCAGGCCTGCGGCTCGGGAGCGCGGAGCCAAGGCTGAGGCGGTGGAGCCCTCAGCGCCCAGCGCTGGAGCTGAGCTCGACAAGGCCGAGGCGCTTCTCGAGAAGGCCAAGACGGGGGGTACGTCATTGCCAACCTCGAGGCTTACACCCGGGACTCCCAGGCCTTCACCACGCGAAGACCCTTCTCCGCCTGGGCCCCGGCGATGCTGAGCTCATCGTCGGCTCCCTTAACTGGAGCACGAGCTCGAAGTCCAACTTGGAGTGCGGGGTGCACCTCACCCTGGCCCCAACGCGGCAGTAGTCGTTGACTACGCCCGTGACTTCGAGCGCTGCTTTACCGCAGGCACCCGTCTGGAGGATGCCAAGCCGCCCGGCAAGGCGGCTGGTTCCAACAGCGCCACCGGTACACAGCAGCAGGCGCAGCAGCCCGAGCCGGTAGCTGCGTAAAGTGCTCGCGGCGGGCTTCCGCGCGGCACGCGCGAAAGCCCGTGGGGCATCTATTGCCGCGGCTAAGAATCTCTCTCTTTTTAAGTGCCTTGAGCGCGGCCTGCGGCAGTGTCACTGCGCGGCTCAAGCAGTACACGTAGGGCCCACAGCTCGGCATTAATTTGCGGGCGGGTCTCCCAGCGATTTTGCTGAAGCCGTTTCCTCTGGGAGCCTGCGGCAGTTTTCTGCGCGGCGTCTCTGCTGGACGCCCGCCGTCTTAGAGCTTGCGGATGGCTGGGCCCATCCGCCCCTTGTGCCAGCTGGCACTTGTGTGCGGCACTCCCGTGCTGTCACCTTGTGCGGCCGGCACGCGGACCTTAATCGGTCGCGGCCCGCCTGTTGACTCAGGCCGCCGCGGCTGATAGTCGACCCAGCTCGGGTCGCTGGACACTTTGGTGTCGCGCCTGCCGGCGCCTCGTGAGCGGCAGCCACAGCCGTCTCCTTGGTCAAGGTTGGTGCGCGGACCTTTTTCGGTCGCCGCCCGTGCTCTGAGCACGGTCCGCGGCCCTTCTTCGGGCGCGGTTCCGCTGTGTAGGACTAGCCGTAGGAGCGAGATGTACATAGCGTGAGCCGCTCTGTAGAAGTAGTGTAGACTAGTTGTACAGCAGCAGGACCTCTGCAGAGACAGCTCGTAAGAGCCTCACCTCGACGTGCCAAAACGAAGACCTGTGCGGGCACGTTGTGCCAGGGTTTAGGTGGTTGTAGGAGGGCTGACCGTTCGTCCGTTCGCGTGCTTGTGCGGGCCTCGCCCTACCGCTTCGTGGGCTTTGGCTGGCCGCGAACGCGCCCTCCCCACCTTTTGTGCGATGGCACCGGGAGCCTCGGCTGAGGGGCAAATTATAAGTACACATACCCGTGTCAGTGCACTTGTCTCTGCAGGTCCGCAGCTTTGTAGCTTTTGTTGCATGTTGTATAATTGAATGTTTATGCCAAACAACTGTTTTGGCTCAAGTGCTTTGCTTTCTAAGTGCCAAGTGTGCACGGCAGTAGCGAGTTAAGGTACCTTCGCGGCTCGCGGAGTTGCTACTCGCGACGGCCTGCGCCTTTGCAGACTTAGGGACTGGAGAGCGTGCGAGTGGACTCGCGAAGCAAAAAGCAGCTGCCGCTCCGTGTTTGCTCTTTGCAAGACCGGTTTGCGGCGCTTCACACTGTACATCGTATACATACTTTACGTTCGTGACACTTTCCTGCACTACCTAAAGTGCATTGCATCACATCACATCACGTTCCAATGCCTAATCACTACATTAGGTGGTACTGCATTACATAATCAAAAAATCATGTGAATATAACTGTCACATCGTACATATATGTATTCATTCAGACATACAGACACAGATTTACAGGCATGCCTGCATGCATGCAATCATGCACATAAACATACATCCTAAAGACATGCATGCACAAACACGCACGTGGGCTTAGTGACGAATGGTGCAGCCTATACTTACACCATGCATGTATCAAGACATCTGAGAAGCTCTCCGTCCTGTAGAATTTGTGGAAGCCAAGCGGCTGTGTGAGGATGCACAGCTCCGGCACCACCAACTCGCTGATCAGCGGAATGCAAAGCCTCTCGCCGAGAAGTTTTGTTCTTCCAAAATTTTCCGAGATCCGCTGCCAAAACCAAGAAGCCTGTTCATGAAACTCGTTGTTTGCCACAAGGTTGGAAAGCCAAGGTCCGCGTTAAAGGCTGCAAAAAACCACAACCACCAAGTGAATTCTACAAACTCCTGAACCTACCCACCAACAGAGCCTCAAAGCACCGGGCATCTGCTTGAAACTCAAAAATGGCACTAGGTTTCGACAGGGCAAAGCAGTCCTCAACGTGTTCACGATGATGTATTGCATGTGGCGATCGAAGCTGCCAGCAACGATGCCCTGTGGGATTGGTTTAGTGTTTAGAAATCGGGGTTTTGGGTTTAGGGTTAAAGGGCTGATGCAACGCCAACCGTAACTGTTGCGACTAATCATGGAGAATACTGTACTCATACTCGGATCTGCGTTTTGGCGACATTTGGGGCTGCACCTGTGGAGGCTTATAGGACCGTGCCGAAACCCCTATCAACGGTAAGCACTGGACTCACTAGACAATAGTCAGCCCTGCTTGTGGTCTGAACAGCATCTATAGGGGTATGTACATGTAACGGTCAAGATTCAATCAACTCTCCAGCCATTAAAGCTCTGACATGGGGTGTTGTACAGATAAGGGTCCACTATTCGGGAGTATTTTCACAGCAAATTGTACCACGTAGGGTCTGTAGTTTTGGGAAATTCCCACATCAAGAAGCAAGCCCCGACGTCAATTCTGAAACCCTCTGTCCCACAACCGTAACGGGAGCCCAATGTTATATAGGGGTCTAGATGTCCCCACGTGGACCTCTTCTCTATACAGCTATACTGGAATATATCCTCCCCAAGTCCAAGATCCTGTTGAAGTGAGTAAAGCGCCTGAAACCCCGATAACACCCTATAAAGACTTACCAAACCCGCAACAGCGGCCTTCAAACGAACCAAATTCCAATTACTAAGGCGCAGTTCACGCTGCGGTTTGGTGACAGGACGGGAGACGTCTTCGAGCTTCATATGACGCCTCTTACCAATTTCGGGACTATGGCTGAGTTGACAAGCACGGGAATTTCTGGGTTCCGAGTGCCTGATGAAGGGAGTAGGTTTCGAAGAGGGGTCTCTGTTCGGTGAACGCCTCTTGGCCAGAAGCTTTGTAGAAAGCAGCGTACTGCTGCAGGCCCTGACCTACTTTGAAACACAGTGAACAAAGGGCTCAGCCGACGGGTGCTGAATTTGAGCCCAAGCAGCCTTAACCATCCTTTTGCCCTGATTCTACGAGTTACCTCGTCATGGTTGTTTGGCATCCGACTCATCCGGAGCCCCCGCTCTGCCGGCCTCCAGAAGCTTCTCGAAGTTGTTGCCCACGATGTGCAACCTTGGCGAATACCCTCTGAAGCCGGCTTTCACTTGAGAAGGGGACTACAAGAAGGCAAGGTGCCCTACAGCAACTTGCTATCATATCATCATATCTATGGGTCTTTGCTCACAGTCGATATCATGGTCGCTCCCAGGGTTCGGGTGGGGGATCGGTCCTCCCCTTTGGGGGATTCTTCAAATTCTCAGAGGACTCCGAAGCTGAAAAAGACAGACTGCTGTTGGGGCAAGCAGCGCAACTATTGGTACTCTCAGACATATGAGTGGGAGGAGACAGAGAAAGACCAAGAGGAAACGGTAGTAACCGGTAGTACTCACAGTACTGCCAGTACTATGACGACGAAGCTGAAGTAGAGCTCAACAACAATTGGTGGCAAGTAGCTCGAGCTTAGGATTGGGGTCATGAATCCTCTCGCCATAGATCCCTTTTTGCAAACGACCCCGCTCCCGCCTCCAAAGCTGTCCCTTCTCGTCAATCATTGTTCAGTGTGTGGGGTTAAATTTTCGCCGCTTCTTAAATTACCCTTTAGTGAACCCGCATGCCGAAAAAATACACCACATATATGGTCAGGCGTCTGGCGTTCCCACCCCCCCCCCCCCCCCCCCCCGCGTGTACCCCGCTTTACAAACAAAATCCCCACTTTACAACCAGAACCCCCACTTTACCCACTTTGCAACCGGTTGGGAAAGCTTCTAACAGCCCTATTAACTGATAACGTCAAAGCCTAGAATCTCTAGCATCATCCTTTACGGCAGCCATGCAGGTTGGAAAAAGCGATGTTGGTTGCAATGTGGGCGTTCTTACCCCGAAACCACGATAGATATGTGTGTGTACATATATATATATATATAGATGCGTGAGGGTTTGGTATCGATGATACTGTTTAGATGCTCACCTCAGCGAGCGTGTTGTTGCATAGTGGTTTGCACTTTATGCACTTGCGGCCGTCAAGCTGTATCCAACTCACTCCCTGCAGGCAAACTCGGACCGAGTGTGTTTGTATTGGGGAAAGCAGAAAGAAAACATGAGTTTTAGAAACGGATTCTTTTCTCACCAGAGCGCAGGTATGCATTTTTTAATTTATATATATATATACCTATATCTATATTAAAGCCAGTACATGAACCCGAACATTTTATTACATTTGATTTTGTATTTACCGTTTTACGCCATACAAGTACTTTCAAAAAATGATGTTCCTTTTTTGTGTGCTTGTATTGAAGAAAGCATACATAAAACATGACCTTTTAGAACCCCAACCCACCGACCCACCACAGGCAAGGCTAGAGTGCAAAGCGCAGTAACATGTAACCAAATTCCTACCCTCGAACTCCACAGCACCACGCTTCACAGACGGACCGTTTTCTCACCAGAGCGCAGGTATGCATTTTTATGTACATATATATATATACATATATATATGTATATGTATATATCTATATTAAAGCCAGTACATGAACCCGAACATTTTGTTACATTTGATGTTGTAATTACGGTTTTACACCATACATGTACTTTCAAAAATTGACGTATTTTTTGTGTGTTTGTATTGGGGAAATCATACAGATAATATGACTTGTAGAAACCCAACCCACCAACCCACCAAAGGCAAGGTTAGGAGTGCGGAGCACATAATAAAATACAACCAAATTCCTAAACCAGCCCCAAAAAACAAAATGGTGAAAACGGAACGTTTTTTTAACATTCCGGGAAAGGCGAGACACAAAGATAACAATAAAAATAATGGGGCGCGTTCCTTTTTAGAGACAGACCTACCTAAACCAAGCCACAACAACCCTGAACGCCTAAACCGGAAAAAACCCTGAACACACAACCCTGAACGCATAAAGATAGCCCGCACAGCCAGCCAGGCGCACAGAAGCACCCACAGACGACAAAGATCAAAGATATCATGCGACGAAGCAATTTTAGGGATGTTCGAGATCTTAGTAGTTTGGGGCCACGGTTGGAAGGCCACGTAAAACACTTTAGGGGGTCAAAGAACCAACAAACTATTAGGAATCTAGGTCGGTTTGTTGTAAAAAACTCATGAAATCCCAATAAGTCTTAATCATGGGTAGACGGGTTGCAAAGTGGGCGTTCTCACGATCGGCAGTTGTAAAGTGGGGATTCTCACACGGAAAACAGTGTCTGTGGTTGTAAAGTGGGGATTCTGGTTGTAAAGTAGGGATTCTGGTTGTAAAGCGGGTTAATCTCCCCCCCCCCATGAGATGTAACCTGGACGTGTATCCCCTCGCTAGGCGTACAGGAACACAGGCACTCAGGTGTCTCTTTTGCTACAGGCGCACAGCTGTAGTCCACTGCACTAGAACCTTGAGCAACAGGCATGGATACATGCAAGTGATACGTGAAACAGACAGGCTTCTGGATGTGTAACATTCAGTGTTTCAACCAGGCACAAATTTAAAACACGTAGAGCTGCATGGCCGTGGAGTCGGCATTCAACTAGCCTGTTATTGCTCTTGGTCGAATTAGCGGAGTATTGAGCTACATCTGCGACTTGAAGAGAATCTATACATCTCTCACCTGAAGACAGCTTCATTGAAAAGAGCAGAACACGCACAAAAACGCAAACGGATCTTCAACTGGAAACTTGTGCTTGAAAGTTGCCCACTTGTGTTTCAGTTCCCTCTCCAGGTGGAAAGCATACTGTAACATAAAAGGTTGTAGAGCTTAGCTCTACTTGATGCCAGCATGACATCTTGCGACACGGCAAACGTATAAGGGCATTGGAAGTATCTTATCCTGAGATAAGTATCTTTTCTTGAAGAAGAGTTCTTTAGGAAGTACCTTTTCCTGAGAAAAGCATCTCCCTATGAAATGACGAATGTTCAGATGGGATACCTTCTTATGAAAGAAGCATTCCGTGAAACACTCAGCCAGTTCAGTCGACGAACTCTAAGTCACGATCCCAGGTTCTATCGCGCCAATGATTTTGACCATGCCAGCGGTAGATGTCGTTGGCATGAATCGGCATTATCGGCTGATGGCGAACAGGGTCGTAACCGCGGGGATCAGCAGCATTCCTAGGTAGCGATATCTGTGGATCTGGAGCAAGGTCTTCATCTTGTTCCACAGGAACTTCGTCAGAACCATTGTCCATATCCACGTCCGAAGAATCGGAACCTAGTCAGTTTTTCCCCTTGTTCTTGCCCTTAGACTTGCCCTTGGACTTGCCCTTGTTGGCGTCTTTGTCCTTGCCTTTAGAGGACTTGCCTCCTTTGCCGCCTTCTTTGCCACCAGGAGGTTGTGCGGGTTCTTGAGGACGTTGAGAACGAGAAGCTTTAGCACCCGGAGCTGCCTCTTCCTGAGAAGAGCTTGTTCCGTGTGGTGCGGGCGCAGGACCAGTAGAACCAGAACCACGCGCCTTGTTCAACTTCTGCCTCTCTTTTCTTCTGTCCGCGGCCTCCTTCATGGTGTCGGGATTGCGGTTAAGCGCTCTCATCCTGCCTCCAGTGTACTGGTTCGCGTGAACCTCAATAAGGAGCGGAGTGTGAGCGTCATAGTCCCGGTCGTTGAGGAGGTACGCGGCGCTGGTGGAATTCAACAGCCACTCGGAGACATGGATGTCGAACTCGGTCCTTGAAGACGGGAACTCTGCCCATTGATCGTCCGACATGCTGTGTCCCCATTCCATGACTGTAGCCATAACAGGATCCAAAGTAGGAAAAGTATTCCAGTCTGGTTGCTTAACTTCCCTGTATGGCATTCCCAGCGTGTCCTCATACTGCTTCAGAAGCCACATGGCATTTGCTGACACATGCCTCGCGCGAGGCGAGCAGAGGTGTAGGCTCTTCGGGCTTTCTGACCAGGCCTCCAGGAAGTAGTCCATGAGACTCTGGTACATCCCGCCGCGGATGTCCATCGATTCCTGCTTCCTGCCAGTGGCCCGGTACAGGGCCATGTTGGCGTCGCCTCCAATGAGGTCGACCTGGTAGTGCAAGCAGTCGATGAACATATTGCCCAACACCTCGTGAGCCAACGCCACCTTGTCTGCCGCCACGTCGTTCCGGAGATGGAAGACACAGACTCTGATACGGTCGGAGCCGGCGCGCTCCAGGACCTTAGTCAGTGCCTCTTCTGGAAAATCATCTCGATTGCCCTGAATGCCAGTCGGAACTGTCATGCCGTACACGATCTCGACGACCATGTAGGTCAGAGGGAGAGACTCGTGTGCGAATCCACTGAGAGTGGAGCCAGCCAGGCGGGTGAGCGAAGATCCAACACCATTGGTACGACTTCCCACCATCAGATCCTTTGACTCGTTGCGCAAGAACTGCCAACCGCGCGACGTGAGGAAGGCCTCCTCGGAGTCATCGATCTTGGCTGCTTCGCATAGCATGAACAAATGCGTCTTCGACTGGGCAATTGATTTTATCAGGGCTCCACGAGACGGTGTAGAATCGTCCCAGTCAATGTGATCAGCAACGGAGGTAGGAGCAGAACGCTTCCTTCCCCTGCTCATGTTGCCGAGATTGACGATGAGCGCGGCGTACTTGGTCTTGCTGGTAAAGATGGGAACCTTTGAGTCCTCTGCCAGACCAAAACGATGAATGTAAGGATTCGGTGTCTTCTCAAGAGAGAGGTCTCCGATCTCCTCTTCATCAACTCCGACGCTCAAGAAGTAATGAAGCATAGCGTTCAAAAGCTCTTCTCGAGTTGCCGGATTGCCGCTTGCATCGAGGGACTTCAGCTTATCCAGAAGTGCTTCCATAACCTCGAGAGCTGATTCTCGGATGTCAGAGGCCTTACCCATGAGCTTGTCATCCAAGGTGCTGCGGACGTCCCCAGAACGAAAGACCACATTCTGCTTTTCGGGACGGCGCTCGTAGATGGGAGACATCTTGTTGAGTTGATCGAAGAGGTCCCCCATGGAGAGGGTGTATTTCTGTCCCTTGTGAGGTGGAACATTTACCCTCCAACTCATATGCTGCACCTTGAAAGCGAGAACGGGCTCGTAGTCAGGATCACGCAGTCCT